GGGGGGGGGGGCAGAGGGTGGCACAGATGCTGTGACTGCCGCTGGGACCGGGGACATGAGGTCGAAAATGTGATCTGCATTAAACATTTACAGTTCAAAAGCATTTTTCTTAATAAATTATCAGTTTTGTGCCTGAAATAAATCAGAACTTACTCTAATCACTGTTTTATTTTTAAATCTCAAATAAAATAAATTTTATGAGGGAAATAATGAGTATTTTTAAATCATCCACATGATTCAACGAGTCAAGAAATCCAAGCTTGCAAAGTCTTTTTTTTAATTATTTTATTTTTCCAATCACCATGTATCCCCTCTGTGCCCTCTTCCACCCCACCACTTCCCACCCCCACCCCACAATCACCACACTGCTGTACATGTCCATGAGTTCTCTCTCCGTAGATGTCCCCTTCCCCCCATGGGTCCCCTCCACCCAACCCAGGCCTTCTTCGTTCACTGACCCCTGGTTCCTCTCCTCTATAATCAGTTCCACCTTTTGCTTTGGCCAAGGTTGACTTCCACCAGCTGTGGCTTTGTAGAGCCCTCCCCGACCAAGCAAGCTCCCCACTTCCCAAATCCAACTAAAGGGTGGGGTCTGTACCTTCCTTCAGCATTTGCATTCAAGACTGACCTCCTGCTCTCTTCCATTAAATCCCTATTTATGCTTCGTAATTCTAAAGCAGGCTTCACTTGCACCCTCGGATGACCTGTCCTCCCGTGCCCAGTCCATTTTCCTTCAGGGGCAAGTACCTCAAAAAGGTGACCATCGTTACTTGCAGTATTTTTCTCCTTAACACCCATTTTTAAAAGGAAAAAGCATCTAAATTTTTGCCCACCCAATGCCTGGTCCCTTATTTTGCCTTTTGACCCCTGTAAGTGAAGACTTCGCTTAGGTACATGCTCTTCTTTGGTGGATTAGACAGGGTTTGGTCCCAGGAGCATGTGTGCCTGGCCTCTCGCGTGTCCCCCCTCCTTCCTCATCCTGGGTTTGCAAGGGGTGCAGCCATAAGCAACCCGATGTCCGTCCACCTGTCAGTGATTCTAGGTAAATGCATCTTGTAATGTCATCTAAGGAGCATTAGTGAGGATCATACTTCATGTAGTACAAACAACTCTTCCGAAGGCAGCGTATTGTGTCTAAAATTAGGTCTAACTGCCTGTCTGTGAGCCTGTTTCTCAGTTTCTGTAGGTGGAAACACTGGCTGGATGAGTAGTTATCAAAGGTTCCTGTTAGGGCTTGGGGTCACTCTAGGGGCCCCTCACAGTCGGCCACAAAGAGACAGAGGAACTCCACGGAGGTGGGACCAGGCCACCGACTGTGCTCACCACCTCCAACAAGAACAACCTTTTATCTACTTTCTACAGTGCTTCTGTGTTTTATGCTTTCATTGTCAGAAAACACTTTTTGTTGTGTATTTTGTGTGCTTAAGTATACAAACCACTTAGCTAGGTGGTCCCGAGGCTTCTTCCGGCTCTACCTTCTCCTAATCTGGATTCTAGAAGATCAATAAAGGACATGCACGCTCGGGGACTCAGAGGCCTGTGTAGCTCAGAATAAAGGGGGAGGCGCCACGGGGAGAGGAGAGAGAAATGGAAGTTCGCTCAGTCAGCTCCAACTAAGACAAACACTTCAGTGTGCTCTGTTACTCGACTGAAACTTGCTACCTCACCAGGGATATCCCGCTCACATTACTCAGTTCAAAATCCATGGTCCTTTCCTCTCTACACTCCTTTTAAGAACTCACTCTCTATAGCACATCATCTGCGCACTACACTGTGCATTCACCACCCCAGGGCAAGTCTCCTTCCATCACCATTTATCCCCCCTTTACCCTCTCCCACCAGGTTCTAGATAAGGCACATGACATACTCGGCTGGTGAAAACAGAGCTTGTTCCCGTTACATGGATTCCGGCTGCCCTAACGGAGCCCACCTGAGTTTGCAGCTTTGTTTTCCTTTATTACCCAACAGACTTCCCTGGTCCAGCCACAAGGTCCCCTTCCTTCTCTCGCACACAACACAGTCCCTCTTCCTCTAAGTTTGTACCTACATTCCGAATGTCCTCTTTCCTCTCTTGCTATCCAAAACTTTATTTATGCTCCTTGGTCCAAAGTAAAGCCCACTCTGTCCAAGTAACTCCACGAGGGACATCCACGTTAAGAAGAGAGGAAGGACGGGAGCCAGAGACACCTGCAAGGGAGCGAGAGGAGCTAGACTCTGCCCGAGGACAGAGTGCTTTGGGAGAAATGGTTTCAGGAAAAGACTAGTCCACATGTGGATAAAAGGGACCTAAGACCTTGCCCAGGACCCTACAGTCCAATTAATTAATTTCCAAGCGTGTGGGAGCTGTTTCCTTAGACCAACCTCTGTCAGAAGCTAACTAATGATGCTAAAACCTCATCAAATGAACCCAGTATTTCACCACATCAGCTCCCATCAAGTGAGTTACCCCAGAGGAAATATACAATTTCTAGTGGTACCGAGAAATAGAGGGGACCCCTCCCCTTCAGTGAATCCCCAAAGGAAACTGGAGCATTTGTTACAGTAGAAATAGGTTCGGACTACAATGAAATTCCTCCTCGAGGCCCTTCACCTCCCCAGGTCTTTCGCTTTCCTGAGGTCAATTTTAAAGCATCTCATGTTCCCTGAAAGCTGCCTGAAAACCTAGAATCTCAGTTCCACCGAAACAAGGAAGGCCGGTTTGAATCAGAATGTGGAATGAAGGAAGGGAGGGAGGAAGGAAACCAGGCAACATGAGATGGTGGAATAAAGCTTTCAGCAAGATCACAGAAAGCTTGGGGTGCACAAAAGATCTGTTCCTTCCTTTGGCAAATATTTACAGTGTATCTACAAAATACCACGTGGCCTATTAAACACACTCGCTAGCTGCTGTGGACACAGATTAATTAAAGGCAGGCCCAGGGACTACCGTGTACTCTGTGGTCCCCGGTACCTGACTAGCTGTGCTGTGAATTTGTTGAGAGCAGTAAGCAGACACTGACCCCTTTGTCAAATGCTTCTTATCGGACTTGGCTGCAAAATTCAACTTCGTGTCCTGGAATCCGCTCAGTTTCTCTACTTTCATACACTGCCAAGCCCTGTCCTAGCAGGGATCCTGGTTGTCTCCCTCATGTCTTCGCCCGCCCTGCCTGAATTAGGGCCTGACATACAGCAGTTTCCCGATAAATAACTGCTGAATGAGGGAATGAGTGAATGGAGCAATCAATTGTTAAGAAATCAACAATTCCCTCAGTCAGAACTCCCAACTGTATATTTCAACCTCCGATGTTACTTAGTCCTTTATTTCCTCACTTACCTTTAATTTGCTTTAGTTTTACATTTATATTCATAATAGGATTAAATAGTCATTTGTTTAAACACAGTAATTAAGAGAAATGCTGATTCTCCAGTCTGTAATAACACAAACCAAAAACCTTTTTTCTTTTACCTGTCAAGAGGTAAGAGTCAAAGAGAATGCTACTGTAAGACTTCCTATAACTACTCTGACTA